CTCCAGGAACAAAGGCCCAGGGCAAACTTCAGCAGTAATCACAGAGTACAGGAAATTCAGAGTTTTGTTTGCTGATTTTTTCTTAATACTTTATGTTTGCTGATTTTTCATTATTAGGAGCTAACGTCTGGTCAGGTCTGTACCCCTGGTGACATGCGCTCTGCCAGGAGTAATAAGGAATTCTCAGCTCTCCCTTCTGCTGTGGTTCATCTGCTCTAGATTTCTGGTGTTAGCTGCAGATTCTTTATAGGAATCTTGTGTGAGCCTCTTGGCCCTTTTGGAGGATGAGGTCGGTTAAAACTAGATCATATAATCCGTCAGTCCACTTAAGCAGACACACTAAACTCTAATATTCTAAAACTCTAAAACTCTAATACTCTAATACTCCGCAATTTGCTGAAAGCTTGCCATCTGGAGGGCGTACTGTGTCAACCCCTGGCCTGAGGGCCTGAGTCCCTTACTCCGGGATACCCAGGAACCACATGGGGTGGGTGCCTGCATGAAAGGTGAAGGCACCAGCATGCAGCTTGATATGAAACATGAGCTCTTGGGGCGCTCACTGCCCAGGGCTGTGCTGAGGCATGTGGTGAGCCCAGCAAACAGTAAGCACTCAGGAGGGCCTGATGTCCCTTTAACGAAACCCCAAGGTCCAGGTTAGTCTTGAGGTGCTTGCAGCCTAGGCAGGCCTGAGCAACTCCTTGTGAGCAGGGGCGTCCCACTCCCTGCAAGATTCAGACCCCAGATGGCACCACAAGTTCAGTCTCCACCAGATCCGAGGCCGCCTGCCCGTTGAGTGCCTGTGAGCCCCTGCACAGTTCAGTGATGGGCACAGGAAGCCTCATGATCGGGGAAGAGGAGGATGCTCCCTGCAGCCTCTCGAGAGGACTCAAGGGGGATCCCAGCTGTGCCCTTCTGGCCTGGGTGCTGACGTTGCATCTGATGATGCCCTGGTCCCACTGGTTCTAGGAATAGGCCTCCCCACTGGGTTAGCATCTGTGTAACTGGCCTTTGCCCTCCTCCCAAGGGGTCCCCAGATGTCTACAGTGTGTGGGATTTACTATGTGGGACTTGCAATTGTACCCTCTGAGCTAAGGGGGCCCCAGGGCCTACTGACTCCATCCGACCAGAGCTTCCTCCTTTGCTACCAGGGCATACACTGGACCCCAACACCAAGAAGCAGCTGAAGTTCCTCGTTATAGAAGCTTGCCACCCGGGATGCCACCAGGCATGCGGGTATGTTATGTCTTGGTCACTGAAGTCAGGTCATAGAGCCTGGACTGCAGGACATTCTGTGGTTACACTACAGGGAGGGTGTAGTCAGTGGGAGACCTGCCCACATTTTGACCCAATAGGTGTAGAGACACACCCTGTACCCATCTGGTTCTTGTTGGGTAGATAGAAGGCAATGAGCACTGTGGGGGGAACAGCCACCTCTGTAGGAAGGTCACAGAGCCTGGACTGCAGGACATTCTTGGCAGCCCAGCCACACCCATCTCCTGACAAAATACTTTCTGTGCCACCGCTGAGCTAGGCCACCACCCTCCCGGCTACTACCTCATGACCCTCCTCTGACCCCCCAGCTCTGGGCCAGGCACCCATGTGGACTTGTTCACCTCCTGCCCAATCTTCTTGACTGAAAGCTGGATGCTGAAGCGGATGCTGTTCAAGATGTTCTTGTAGTAGGTCTTCTCGTGGACCTTAAACTATGCGGGGCACGGGCAGCACTCAGCCACAGACCAGGGCAAGGCTGCAGACAGCGCCACAACCTGGCCATCCAGGCCCTCCCAGGTGCCATTAGCAGAGGGGCTGTGGTCAGGCTGGGCAGGCAGGGACACAGTCCCATCTCATACTCCTTGTCCACAGACCCAGTTTGAGCAGGAAGTCTGAGTAGCCGACCATCGCCACCATGTACTGAAGCTGCGGGCCAGAGGGCAGGTGAAGGTGGCCTGGGGCCTCAGGACACAGCGTCCCTGCCCCCCCCCGCCCACCAAGGAAAGGAGTCCTAGGCCAGCCCGGGAGTGGGCTTCACGGTGGGGGAGGCAGGCCCGGTCAACTCCACGAAGGCCTCTTCGTCCCTTGTATTCTCTTTCACTGGCACACAGGAGGTGCTCAGTCAATGTTCATGGGACCAACCGGTGGCACTGGGGGCCCCTCGCCACGGCCCCAGCAGCTGTTCTGGTCTCCACGCAGTCCAGCTCCTCCAGGCGCTGGCCCTGGAGGTACTTGATGTCTTCCACCAGCTGCCACACCTGCAGGGTCAGGGGTCGGGGAACAAGGGTCAACCCAGCAGCCTTTCACTCTAGTCCATCATTCCTGGCACGAAGGAGTCTTTAAGTACCACTTGCTAAGCCCAGAGCTCAGTGCTAGGCGCCAAGAAGACACGTTGGAGGTAGGAATCTAGACCCTTCCCCTCCAACAATAAGCTCACAGGCTAGAAGAGGCAACAGCTGCAGCAACCACCATGGGCATCCCTAAGGAGATGCCTCCTGAGCACGGCTGAGAAGGTGGGCAGGGGCCTGGCGGGGAAGGCCACCTGCCACTAACAGACCAGGAGGAGGAGTCCTGCGGAGGAGCAGCCTGGAGCCTCAGAATGGGCTGAGGCCTAAGCGGGGCCTGGTACCCCTGCCTGCAGTGGGATGTGTGGGGCTCCCCACGCTAGGACCATGGCCTCGGGAGGGCTCCACCCTCAGTTCAGCACCAGCCTCCCCACCCTAAACCAGAGCAGCCCACCTTGGCTGAGGCGGGCTGAGAAGTGTTCATGTACAAAGAGGGCATGAAGTGCCATGCCAAAGTGGTGGTTGGCCTGACTCAGGCTGACCCGGGCCAGTTCCTGTGGCTTGTTACTGTCCTCTATCTCCCGTGCCAGCTTGTGCAATGCCTCATGGAATGACACGAACAGGTGTTCACTCAGGACCACCACCACGCCCCACAGAAGGTAGTTGTGCAGGATGCTAGGGGCCAGATGAAGCCAGTGGGGTGTCCAGAAAGACATTCATATGGGCCACCAAGGGCACCACCCCGGCCTGTACTCCTCAGCCCGTGACTGGACCCAGCACCCAGATAGTCCCTCAAAGAAGGGGCAGGAGGTCATCCCAAGTATGTGGAGGCTGGAATTGGAGTGTGCTGAGCTCAATGACACAGTAAGACACTCTTGCTACTGATGCCAGCCCCTGATGTGATGGGTCAGGGCTTGAATCATTTCCTGACTTGCCATGGGGAGATAGCGTCTGACCTTGAGGGTGACTGTCTGACTCAGAACTGGCCTGCAAAGGCCTCGGTTCCTCCCCATGGTGGATAGACACCACGAGGCTCTCCGAAGGGTGGTGCAGGAACAGCAGAGCCGTAGCCACACTTTCTCTTTCCAACCATCCCTAGGTGAGGAAACTGCAGCTCAGGAAGCTCCCAGCCCTGCCCAGGGCCTCGGAAAGCAGAGGCGAGAGCTAGGATCGGATCTTCGGGCTCTGGGTCCTTTTTGAGTGCTGCCTCCTTTAATGTGACTACTGGACAGAAGAGGAGGCGGAAATTCATGGCACACCCAGCAGGCAAGTCCAGGGGGCAGGGGAGGGGCCTGGGCCATATGGGGAGGTGATCTTCTGCAGCTGCCCCAGCGTCACCTTTTTGTACATGGAGCTGATATCTGGCTGGAAATGATCATACTCTGACAGAGTGATCTGGGTGGGGGTAGAGATCAGGGCTGAGCCAGTCTTGTCCCATGGTCCCCTGTCATCAGCTGTCCCCACTACAGCCACAGGGTCTCCTTGGCCTTCTGCTCTACAGCGTCAGCACCCAGGAGGCTGAGCACTCGCTCCATGAACACACTGTAGGCTGCCAGTATCTGCACCACGGGAAGGGGCTCCTCCAGGGACACGGACAGGCCTAGCCTGGGCCCACCCCTCCTGGGGCCCCAGGCCTTCTCTGCCTCCCCATCCCATGTCCCAGCACCTTCTCACTCGCCTTATCCTGAGCGAGGTACAGGGTCCTCTCTGGCAGGTTGAGCCCATCCTGGTCAATCTGGGGAGGGAGACAGGGGCCAAAGGTCAGAGGTCCACATGCCAGACTCCCCAAACAGATGGAATTCTCACCCGAATGCCCAGAGAGAGACCAGACATCCATGAGGACAGCTCCAGAAGCACGCAGACCCCAGCCCCTCTTTCCACCAGATGAGATGACCAAAGCCCCATCCCCGACTGTCTCAGCCTACCCCTGAACGCCTGCACTTTCCCTACCTTTCGGGGGCACTTGCTGCAGTGCCGCACTGACAGTTGGGGTTCCTGGCTTTGGCGCCAGCCCCAATCCTCACGGAGATGTCAGCCCAGCCCGCCCTCACTGCCCACCCTCACTGCCTTCCAGAGGGCTGGGAAATTGCGGCTCCCACAGCTCCGCTAAACACCTCAGTTAACCCAGAGAAATTACTTGCGCCCTCCTCCCGCGCTCTGCCGCCAAGCGCTCCCCTCCCCTGCTTTCCCTTTCTCTCCTCTCGCGCGCCCTCCTCCCACGCGCAGGGACCCCTGGACAGGGACGCCCCCGGGTCCACGGCCGCTGGAGGGGCGCTCGGGGGGCCTTCTCACGCGGATGATGTAGCGCCAGGAGTTCCTGTAACCTAGGCTGACCCAGAGGGAGAAGAGCGCTGCGGCGCTGTACACGCTCTGCCCCTTGTACAGCAGCAGGTTGCGGTCCCAGGGCGTCACGACCCCCGGATGCTCCGCCGCGCCGCCCAGGTCCCAGCCCCCGCAGTCCTCCACGACCTCTAGCATGGGCCGAGGACTCAGTAGCTCGATCTCGCGCATGCCGAGGCACCAATGGAAAAAGGCGCGCACCTTGCGCTGGGCCGCGCCGCGGGGCCTACCCCTGGGCCGTGCCAGCAGGCGCCGCAGGCGCTCCTCTTTCTGCTCGCGGATGGCCGTGATGGTGCCATAGGTGAGCTTTTCGTTGGGAATGGCGCGGTGCCTCAGTCAGCCGCTGCAGGCGAAAGAGTAGAAGTGCTGGCATGGGTCCATACTGGCGTCCAGGTTGGCTGCCAGGAAGCCGGCGGCGCGCGCTAAGGCCTTGCCCTCGGGGCAGCCCTCGGGACAGGCGCCGCCGCCCGCGACGACCGGGTCCAGGTACCTGAGCGCCAGCATAGCCGCCAGTATGGCGCAGAGACCAGCGGCGAACACCAGCCCCGACAGCAGGCTCATCTCGTGCAGGGTTCCAGCGCGGCAGCCCAGACCGGTCCCCGGTGGCGCTGCTCCTCCAGAGAAGCCTGGGGGGCAGAAAGACCTCTTGCACGATCCCCGCGCCGCAGCAGCTCAGGTACTTGACCTACTGGGACGCGTCTTAGTGCGCAGTCAGCGAATACCGCTCTCCATGGCACCGAGGCCGCCGCGGTGCAGCCCTGGGCCACCTGGGCTATGGGATGCGCGCGGCCGCTGGCCTCCTCGTGGGCCTCTGCATGGCCCCAGGGCCAAAGCTGCGGGAAAAGCAGTCAGGCTTAGGAGGCGCAGCAGCCCGACGGGGCTCCCAGGCACAGCGAGGAGAGACGCAGGCCTGGGTGCAGAGGACCCAGCTGCCGGCCTCATTCACTGAGGAAACCAGGGATGAGAGTCTGGCGGGGCCACTACCTCGGCGTGCACAGTGGAGTCTTCTCCCCTGTCCTCCTCCCTGCACACACGTGTTGGACGCTGAATTGGGAGGCCTCTTATGGGAAGAGGGATGCTCCAGGCACGGGGTCTGGCATGTAGTGGGTCTTCATTGAAAGGCCATACCTCTTCCTTTCGCCTTTCTTGTCCACGACCTGGCCTAGCCAAGGTCAAGTGGGGTGGGGGAAAGACCGGAAGCTGAAGTGAGGAGGTGCGGTCAGGGGCACGTCTATGAGGCACTTTCAGCTCTCCGAACTGGACCCAGACAGACGCTCCGCAAAACGGCCAAAGAACCAAACTTTGTCCTCGCGGAAGTCCGCCGGATCGACCACTTCAACCCCGCTCGCTGGCTCCTTCTGCTCGGTGGCCCGACGGCCCACCCGCCCCTTCCCAAGGGGCACGCGCCAACGCCCCAGGGTCGCGGATGCACAACCCACTCCCTGCACGGCCGTGATGGAAAACCCGAGACCTGTCGGTCGCTATCCCTTTTCCGCTCCACTCCTGGCTTCAACAGGTTCTCCCTAGAATCCACGCTTGGGCGAAGTTTCACCCACGTCGGGGCGCGAGCTGTCCGGGCGAGCCCAGAGTCCTGCAGACGCGGCGCGCAGTCCATGGAGCCGGAGAGCCGAGCCTGGGAGTCGCAGCTACAGCGGCGAGGACGCAGACAAAGCCGGGAAGCTCCGCGCGGCGGCTACGAAGGTGACGGAAGTGGCCGCCACGGTGACCGCGGCTGCAGGGACTCAGGCGCCACTTACCCGGCAGGTGCGCGCCGGAGCCTGGCAGAGGCGGAGCGGGTCGGGCCGGAGCCGCTGCCTGAGCAGGAGCGAAGCGACGCGGGCGGCCAGTGTCTCCCGGAGCCCGCTGCCTTCTTTGCCGCCGCCCCAGCCCGCCGCCCGCCTGCCTGCCTGCCGGAGGGAGGGGACGCGCCGGCGGCTCCACCCTCCTCCGCCAGTTCCGCGCTCCCTTCCTTCCTCCTGCGACCCTCGGGCCACCTGGCAGCGCGGCGGCAGCTGGGACCTGGGTCGGGGGCCGCGGAGACAGGCTTTCGAGGGTCGTGCGCGGGCTACGGTGGAGACTCCGGGTCTAGCCGCGTCCCGGGACGAGTGGGAGGAGTCCCCTCCGATCCCGTGTCCCCACTCGGAACCTCCCACCAACCGGCTGGAAAGGAGCTGGAGCTACGCAGCTGGGGGCCGTCATGGCCCAGCCCACAGCCCTGGAGCACCGCCCAGGGAGGACGCCTCCTGAGGATTGAGGGGGCGCTAATAGAGTGCCTGGGCTGCCCGAACAGCGCCTGCGCAGAGCGCACCTTCACCAGGGAGCTTCCTTTACCTCCTGGGAACCCCTGTCCCGGATCAGCTCTCCCTGGGGTGTCTGGGCTTCTGGTTGTCTCGCCCCCTTCCCCCAGCCCCTGATCCACGGAGAGCAACGCAGAGCCCTGCCAGAAGCAGGCCTGGGGCTGTGAGTGCGGCCCGCATGGTCCCAATGGGCGGTGGTCCCAGAGCACAGCAATCACTGCCTATAGGAGGTGACTTGGGTTTAGCCTCTGACCACACAGTCCTGGTTACCCTGCACAGACTGCCAATAAAGAGGGGTCCGAGGCCCAGCTCCTTGGTTCCCCTGCAGTTCCCCCAAAAGAGAAGCTGAGGCTGTGGGTGAGTGGGTAATGCCAGTGGTCCACCTCCAGTTCCCTCACCGTGGGGGGCTTCCCCTACCCCTGTGATAAGGTTTGGCTCTGTGTTTCCACCCAAATCTCACCTTGAATTGTAATCCCCACGATCCCCACATGTCAAGGGTGAGACCAGGTAGAGGAAATTGAATCATGGAGCTGGTTCCCCACATGCTGTTCTTGTGATAATGAGTGAGTCTCACGAGATCTGATGGTTTTATAAGCATCTGACATTTCCCCTGCTTGCTCTCATTCTCGCTCCTGCCGCCCTGTGAGAAGGTGCTTTCCACCATGACTGTCAGTTTCCTGAGGCCTCCCCAGCTATGAGGAAATGTGAGTCAATTAAACCTCTTTTCTTTATAATTTACCCAGTCTCAGGTATTTCTTCATAGGAGGGTGAGAACGGACTAATACACCCTGATTGCCCAGGTGACCCCATGACTCATATGCAAGAGCATGACAGACCACAGCAGTGCCCAGCGACACCCAGTGAAGCCCTGAGTGACACAACTGGATACCTGATGTGAGGGTTGGGGGCGGGTGTTGGGAGGGGGTAAAGTAGCCAGAGCTGCCTTGGAGAGAGAAGGCCCGAGGGGATGCCAGGCACAGACCGTGAGGGCTTCAGAATCTGACTCACTGCCTCCTCCCTGACTAAGGACAGATCCCAGTCACCCAGCCTATGAACCTTGTCAGAATCAAAATGGAGTTCCTTTTGTTAAAAACCCTGAGAAGTAAAGCCAGGAACAAGAAAGGGATTTACCATGCACAAAACCTGACAACAAGAACTATCACAGAAGACTGCAAACAACCAGCTTGCATAATGACTTTCGTAACCTTTCAACAAAGAATACTTCTGCAAGGACATCTGCCCAGCAATTGCCTGTCCAGCCTCAAACTGGTGCCACTCATATCCTTGATCCTTGTAGCCAAGGATAAATATCTCAAAACAATCCTGTGATCCTCCTCCTTTTTCCTCTAAAAACCTTTATCTTCCTTCACCTCTCTAAATTCACACATAGTTTCCTATGGCCTGCTTATTCCCATTGCAGTACCTATTTCCAAAGAAATTTCATTTTATTTTAGAGTCTCCCTGTATCTGTTATGCAATGTCACATAGTGGAGCCAGAACTGGGACTGAAGTGAACTCTGAAGTGAACTCATCTTGGACAAATCAGAGTCTCCTGGAATCTAACGCAGCGTTGACTGAGCCCTCTGCAGACTGCCTTTCCAGGAGTTGATTTTCTGTTCTGGTGAATCTCCTTGAATACTCAGACTCCCTCCCTTTGGTCAGTTCCTTTTTACTGTATCCTGGATGTGATTTAGTTATAAGGCTCCCTTAAACAAAGGACCTTGCATCCTTCTTGGGAGTATAAAGGTTGGAGTTTTGTTGGGGCGTGTGTGTGTGTGTGTGTTTGAGACAGTCTTGCTCTGTCACCCAAAAGAGTCCTGCCCTGCTGCCCAGGCTGGAGTGCTTGGCAGGATCACGGCTCACCGAAACCTCCTCCTCCCAGATTCAAGCGATTCTTGTACCTCAGCCTCCCCAGTAGCTGAGACTACAAGCGCGCACCACCACATGTGGCTAATTTTTGTATTTCTGGTAGAGACTGGATTGCACTATGTTGGCCAGGCTGATCTTGAACTCTTGACCTCAAGTGATCTGCCCACCTCGGCCTCCCAAAGTGGTGGGATTACATGGGTGAGCCACTGTGCCCAGCCAGTTTTGTTTTTTCATTTGCTGCTTTGCTTTTCGCAAGCACTTTCTGGTATAAACAGAAGTGCCCTTCTGGTTTGAGGGCTCTGGTTTCTACAGAATTTATTTTCTGTCTAGACAGCAAGTCTTTTCTGGTGAACTCACTTTTGGTTCTGGATGCCTGGCTGAATATTTTGTTTGATGTGCAGCACCTTGGCTGAAATTTTGTGAACACTCTGATTTTGGTTTGGTTTCCCACGTCTGTAAATGATGTGGCCTTTTTTTTTTTTTTTTTTTTTTTTTTTTTTGCGCTTGTGAACATCTTCTAATCATCCGATAGCAAAAATAAACATAAATGGTTTGGTACCGTAGGAAACATTTAAAAACAAATAAATAAATAAATGTTGAGTGCAGGCCTGGCACAATGGCTTGCGCCTATAATCCCAGCACTTTGAGAGGCCAAGGTGGGAGGATGGCTTGAGCTCAGGAGTTCAAGACCAGCCTGGACAACATTACAAAACTCTGTCTCTACAAAAAATACAAAGATTGGCCAGGCGTGTTGGTCCATGCCTGTAGGCCCAGCTACGAGGGAGGCCAAGGTGGGGGGGATTGCTTGAGCTCAGGAGGCTGAGGCATAAGAATTGCTTGAATCTGGGAGGTAGAGGCCACATTGAGCTGTGATCGCACCACTGCACTCCAGCCTGGTTGACAGAATGACCCTGTCTCAATAACAACAACAAAACAATTTCAAAAGGTGGGTATGAGATGGCCAGTTAAAAGAAACTAGGGCATCACCACCATTGAAATACTTGTGCAAACTCCAGGATTTATAGGATTTTCTTTGCTTTTGAGATTCATAAGAAAGGGAATGACATTCTCAAACATTAACAGCCAGCTACATGGCTTTTCCTCATGCACATTTTAAAATCAATGGCATGATGGGAATCATTTGAACTCCCCAAGTTTGCTTTTTCCTTATACTGAATTTTAAAACTGCCAACTACAGAGTTAAATGCTCTCTCTTTTTTCTGCCTACTTGAAATCTGCTGACATTTCTGCTGGTATTAAGATAAACCCACAATATCACTTTCCAGCCAAGATAAAAACCAATAAGGAAGAGGTTTTAAAAGGTTTTCAAATTAATGGCTCTACAAATTACAACAGCTCCATGGCAACCCACAACCTAGACACCTTTTGGAAATGTAAATTTAGGTTTGCCTGTCTAACAGTTGCTTTGGGTGATGGACCAGTCCATGGAAGGGCTGCTATTAGAAAGAACAGAACGAGAGAAATGTTTATAAAAATTAGGCTCTCAGATCAAAGAGGTCAAAATTGTGAACTCAGTGCAACAACAAAAAGGATCTCCGCTCAGGATAAAAATTGCTTTGTCTGCTACACAGGGCCAGAAAAAAGCTGAAAAAACCTCCTAAAATGCTTCCCTACCTGCATGGAGCTGTCAAGCAAATAAGAGCATGTTTTTTCATGTCGTGTGTTGTGTCTCCAATTTGAAATCTGACACAATAGTCCAGAAATTCCTTAAGGCATTCTATTCAGGTTAACTTAGATTAATTAAACTTGTTCAAATTTATAGTGAGCAGGGCATGGTGGAGCATGCCTGTTTTCCCAGCTACTCGGGGCTAAGGCAGGAGGATTACTTGAGCCCAGGAGTTCAAAGACAGTTTGAGCAACATAGCAAGACCCCATCTCTAAAAAAATATGTATATAGGCTGGGTACGGTGTCAAACGTCTTTAGTCCCACCACTTTGGGAGGCTGAGGTGGGTGGAGTGCTTGAGCCCAGTAGCTGGAGTTTCAGATAAGCCTAGGCAACATGGCAAAACCCCATCTGTACAAAAAAATACAAAAATTAGCCAGGCATGGTGGCGTGTGCCTGTAGTCCCAGCTACTGGGGAGGCTGAGGCAGAAGAATCACTTTAACTTGCGAAGTAGAAGGTTCCATGGGCTGTGATTGTACCACTGCACTCCAGCCTGGGCGACAGAGTGAGATCCTGTCTCAAAAAAAAAAAAAAGTACATATATATATATACACACACACATACACATACACACACACACCTGTGTAGATACATACATATATAAATGCATGTATACATATTACATATACCTACATATATAACATAGTAATGAACCCAAATACCTTTTAGTTCATGTGATTTAACCACATCTTTGATAAATAAGCTTGTTTTAAATTTGTTGATAAAATAAAAATAGAAATATCTTTAGCATTTTCTTTTCTTT